TGCATCATGCCACTCACGAAGCCGCGTCCCATTTACGCTTTTTGATTCCTGACCTTCTTGAATTGCATAGACGTCCCTTGGCGGTCGGTAACGATAAAAAGACCTCGCCATTGACTGCCCAGCTTCTGCGACACAAGTCCACTCCTTCCAGGGTTCTGATGATCCTTCCACTTGAAGTTCGTGCCTATGTATAATGTTCGCGCCTTTTCACTTGCCGTTTCCTGCCTAGTCCATTCCTGAATGGCGTTCAAGTTTACTTGAGCTTTCTTCCCTTCTTACCCCAGCTCCTCCGGAGACAAGCGTCTTTCCAGTCACAGTTAAATTTCCTGATCAACCGGAAGACGTGGATGTCGACCGCACATCAGCATGAACGGGGACTTGTCTGTGGTTGGCTGTATAGAAGCACGATGACCTAGCAATACCATTGCCAGATTAACTTCCCAGTCACCCCCTCTGGCCACTCCCCGATCGTTGGGTTATTACATTTAGCTAGACTATTTTTTGCAAGCGGTACAGCGCAATTTCAACCGCTTCATTAACTGCTTCTGCAGACAAGTCCTGAAGACTTCGCTCTCGAAGCAAGGCACCTGACCACTTAGGATCATTTTTGGAACCTCTTGATTGTACACGATCTGATGCATTATCACTCCGCTGATCGTGATCGCTCGTTCATTAGGCAAGGCTGTCGCCTCGATTCAACGCGACAGGTGTTCTGTCATTATCATGACATATTGATTCCCGCTGGTTGTCAACAGAAAGGGGCCGATGACGTCAGCGGAACATAACTCGCCAATTTCTGGGACAGGAATGAGTTCCACGGAATGGGTTTCCCTTGTAGTATCCCCTTCAATCAGTTGGGGGCCGCTGCAGTTCCGTGTAACTTTTTAGTGCCCTTTTTTAAACCGAGGTGACGATCGAGGAGCTCCACTCGGATGATATTCTGTTTCCGCCTTTAATCTTCTGCAGTATGGTCGTCGCACTGTTTACTAAGACTTCGCCGCCTTCTGTAGAGGGCGTGGGGTGTATATTATCCGGGCCAGGTGTCTGGTCTAGCTTCTGGATTGAAACCTTACTCTGGATTTCGGTTGCTTTTGGCGAATTGGTATTAACGTTTCATTCAGCCCGCTAGGTCTTTTCAGCGGTTGCGCTGAAAGAGACCAGCTAAACTGCCTCTTGATGTGTTCTGCCCAACACCAAGGACGACGATTGCGGAATTAAATTGTCGTTCCCTATTTCACATATTGTTTCAGTGACACCTGTCTTCTTTTGATCGAACTAGATGAAAATAGCGAGGCCACTGCCTGCAGCGAAAACCTTCTTGATTTCCGAGCTTTCAAAATCCCTTAGCGTTTTTCCATCACTGCTCAAGCTCCCTATTATCCTTCAAATGAGGAATCAGCGTGCATAATCGCATTCGCTCGTTTCTGATATGGTCTTTGAGGCAACTTGAATGCACGGTTCTGGAAACTGAAAGCATTCCTTCCTCAACTCGCCTTTGATTCTACAAATGTGGCATGTTTGACCACTGGAATAATCACTGTCATCCTACCCGACAACCTGTAAATAATGACGCTTTGGATTACCCCTCTTTTCTTGGCTGTGTTTCGATTAATGCAGTGGCGCAACGTGCGACACAGGTTGTCATTGAGACAGGGGAAGAAAGAGCCGTACCCAATTGATGCCAGAGCAAGGAGGTTCTCTGAGGCAGGCAGGGCACCAAGCTGAACGAAACCGTGAGCGCCAGTTGACTGAAAATCGAAGGGTCGTTAAGGCACCCCATGCGCCTGTGCAAAAGGTCGGTACAGCACCAGTTCCTGATCTTAAGGCAGTCTTGGGAGCAGACTGTCTCAAACGCGAAGAATCCGTGGTTGGCTTCAGGCAGGAAAACCTGGTGACAAAATATAGCTCGGTCAAGCTTAAAGGTTACACGTGCACTGTCGTGAGCGAACAGCAGGTCTGAAAGATTCCGTCCTATAATGTGCCGTCAGTACAGTCCGTGGTCGGGGAACATTCTGAACTGCTCACAGGCGATGAAGATTCATTCGGCTCCTGCCCGTGGACTAAAATAGAAGCCCTCCTTTTGTCCAAATGCTTTTGGTTCCCTTCCGCTGGATTTCCATCTACGGGAGGAGGTCCATAAGCAAGTTCAAGAGATGTTGAAAAATGGCATAATGGGGAAAGCCAATAGTGTGATTGTGCTCGTGAAAAGGCGAACGGGAAATACCGATTTTGCGTGGAGTTTGGGAGTTTGAATGAACCGACCTCAAATCTTGTTGTAGTTGTCCGTTCGGGTGCCGGTATTTACGATTCCCTCCAGCATTATCGATATTTCATGTTGTTTGTCTTGTGCTCAGGTTAGTGGCAAGTAGCTAGCAAGTCAGCGGAACAGGAGCAAAGAGCTTTAACGTTTACAGGCACTTAATATCAGCTTGTATGTATGCTGTTTGGTGGCGCACCGCAGATATTAATTTCCTACCCATGACTGTACCCTCTCACCCAATAGTTCAATAGCTGTGGATACGAACAAACTCTTCACCTTAACAAAGCCGCCCCCAGGACGGGTTCATTCAAATGTGCTGAACCATTTCGTAGGCTGTCTGTCTTTGCTCCCCATGAAATAAATAGGTTCCTGTGCAGTTCGCGTTCCAGCCTGTGTGTTATCACCAAATCACCCTTTCAAAGAAGTTTTAAACCCGACTCCACAACAACAGCGACTCCAGTGGGTCTCGAAAGTTTCACCGTACACCACATTTCCGTTATTCCTGTTACCGTTTATCCGCATTGCTCATCCATTAACTACCACACCCACCATTACGCTATTTTGACCATGGTCATAGGCCCAACCATCCAAGGCCATGAGGCCTCAGCGATAGTTTCGGTTCAAGTTGACTGGCTGTATTGCAACAACTCTGCTACTTCACCAGATCCGTTGTTCTAGTTCTTGTTTTTCCTCAGTTTACAGTTTTCTTGTGGTGTGCTAGGCAGGATGCTTCTCGCTTTGCCCTCCAACGTCTTACTTTTGCCCACCACTTTCAAATTCTAGCGTCTACATTGGATAACGCCTACTGTTTATGACGCGGTACTTTTCTGTACAATCCCTTTTGTACACAAACACCGTTCGTCATACTGTTATACTGACGGCAATATTTTGATCACGCCTGACTGTACGCCGGTCACCAATTGTAACTGATTATTATTAGCTATCTACGTATAATTTACCGCCCTCTACAGATTGTGGGCAACCAACCAACGCATTCCACTCCTCACACAACCACAATACCTTCTGGCAAAATTTGGCTGCTCCGATACCGTACGCCTTACCACCAAGAGCACGTTTGTGTACTATTCCACTCGACCAATATTGTTTGCCATTCACCCAAGTTTCGTGCGTTTATCCACTTTCAGATGCACCACTTCTTCGCATTCCTCGAGGTTGATACAATCTCCAGGCTCAGCTTGGATTCTTCAGACACCCCAACGAACACCTTTGTCGGCTGGCCACCTCGCTTAACCAGTGACCCAATCAGGTCGGTGGCTTCTGTTGACATCCCCGAGTTGCACTTCCAGTCAGCCCGAGTTCACGATCGTTGCACTTTGCTTTTGCGTGAAAAATCCAAAAGACTCACGATCATCACACTTGTTCCTTTTGGTCAGAGTGCAAATATGCGGTTTTGAAGTTGTCGCAATCTATCTGACCTCCTCATTTCCAGGAAACGTGTCCATAAAGAATTGTGGTCATCGTTTCCAGGATAACTCTCTCAAATGAGGTCCTCAAATCTCAGCTTGCGGGCTCAAGCCGATTAAATACGCCAGCTCCAACCAACACTTTCTTATACCAGTGAGCTGGATGTAGTCCCCTCAACCTTCACTGATAAGAAATGCATGCAGGGAGTGCTAGAAAATGATAGTTCAAAAAATCTACGACAGCAACCAGTTTTAGCTGAACATAGCCCAGAATCCACATTCAAAGTAGCTTTTCATCACCAACAGCTGAGGAAAACTTGCCAGGGCTAGACCTCCAAAATTCTCGCCTCCCTAGCAAGCTCTAATAAACTGATGCCTAAAAACGTGGGTTTGCTCTGAACATTAAAGATAGATTCCAATGGGCCTAAAAATGATCAGAGGCAAAATTTACTTTCTTGCTGCGCACACGCCTGCCCCGGTGTCAGTCAAAACGCTCCGAAGATAGTTTTCAGCCCAGAGCCAAAATGGCAGCGAACCGTCCACATACAGTGGCCAAACCCTTAGTCCGCAGTTCCAACATCAACTTATATTTTACCAGCCCATGAACCTCTTGCATTCCTACATTCCAGAAACGGCATATAGACACCCACCCGCAATCACCACCTAAAACATATTGAACTGAACTACTATTTGGAAGCAACATTCATCCGCGTAATCCCTTCAACCGAGATTTGAGTCACATAGGCGATAGGCGGTTGCAAAATTAACCCTAATTCTTGTCACATTCTGTTCCAATTTTCAAAGAGATGATTCAGAGGGGTATATGCTTGCACTGAAATCTGTATCATATTACACAGCATCCTTTTTGATCACACCATTCGGTTAACTTATTCGGCGTAGCCATTCAGAGAGTGAAAATTTGAAAGATTGTCTACCGCAAACGCTCAATTCTAACAGAAGTTCCTATGTCCCAACCAATCCTCTCACTTCCTCACTTCCACACACCCACTTCCTGATCGTGTGCAACTTTCATGTGTTCTAGGCCCAAACGCGCTTCGGGATTTCACTCGGCCCTTCTGAATACCTTAACTTGGTGTGAGTGGCACAAATAGTTCCCCAACCTAAAGGGAACCAGTTTGTCAGTGTGTTCCGGTTGCAGACCTGTGCATTACCAACGAACGTACATGTTATCCTGTGCTTCACTATGCAATTGACAGTCGTCTAGCGTTCTCTCACCCACAGTTGTCTCACATTTTGATGACTATGCCCGCCTTAACTGTCACCAGAATCCCTTGCAAAGGGATACGCCATTGGTTATGAGCCCAGAGGATAGTGAACGGACAGTGCTCTCCGTTAGCCTGGGGCGTGCCCCGGCATTGCCTTCCAGTATGTCTGTTTGCTCGCCAAGGCGACGTCAATACTCTAGCCAATCACTTCGGATCCCTGCCAGTATGAGTAAGTTGATGGCACCCCAGAATTTCAGACTATGATATCTGTCCTTCAGAAAACAATCCTGAGTTTCAATATGCTCTGCATTCGTCAGCAGGATTCCACCCTTTGTTCCGCAAGGCGCGTAAGCCCTTACATTTGCCAGTGGTTGCAACGCGTTATCCTACAATTAGGCGAATATACATAGGGTATTCGATGCCTACTACCAGTGGTCCAGGAATTACTAGTCCTCCTCAAGTCGTGGAAAAGGTGTCGAATCTGTCTATCCCAAATTCATGCCGCCAAGATACCGGCTTACTTTACGTGTAGAGCGTTGGGATCGCAGCGCTCGATCGCTCCTAAACCCTGACCTGCCTGACCCGCCTGTGTAGCACCAACATGTTTTCAGAATTTTTTTCGGGCCATATTTTCTTCATCAACGAACTTTTCGCTAAATCTTGGTCGTTTGCCGCCATCTCCTACTGGGTTGTAGTGCAATTTGATCCACCTGAATTCAACTTCAGCTTTGATTCCATGGAGGCTACCCAAAACATTTAACGAAGAGCCACTAAAGCGCCAGCGTTGCTTCATGTTTGCTTTCGTCCCCGATTCTTTCCTCACTCAAATGCCGCGATTTCACATGCTGTTTATATTACCTTATAGGCTTTCCCAGTAATTTTGACACCTCCGTCTGTGTAAGATTTTCTAGAAGCGTTCAAGTCTGGGCAGGGAAGAACCTTATATTTATAGGAGGTCACTGCCTTGTAAAACAAACCAACAGAATCCAGTGTTTCAACCCGCGCTGACTTCTCCCACGCATTTGTTTGATAAAGCTCTCCTGCGCCATGGTTCTCACTTACCAGTAAACAACTGTCACTCAAATTCCCAAATCCCACAACGGGCTCCATCACCAATTCAAACAAGTTGATCGTATCTGGTGAGTGGTCACGTATCCATCCACACACGCACAGTTACAATCCTTACAAGCATATTACTGCAACTCTGAGCCCCGTTACCTCCAAAAGGTATGCCGCTTACCCTCCGCCCCCTCCTGAATAGTTTTTCTCCAAGTGCTCTTGTCCATTGTTCTTCCTGCTCCAGTAAACCTGGTAGGTATCCTGTATGCATACGAGGTTTCGCCATAATTTCTGTCGCATAATTCCCAGCAGAAGTTGGGGAATTTGGTTGGAGAAAAGTACCCAGGTTACATACTGTCGTCGGTAATTTTCGGGTTTGTATTCCGGCCCGCTCCGGTGTAAACGACTCAGCGTTGCTTAGCTTCAATCGAGCGGAGACGGCTTAGTGAAGATTAGACACCCTATAGCCTCGATTTTATGAGGCGATTGACAGGCCGCAAATTAACGCCTCCATCTGTAATCAGAAGATCTGACATCGTTAGTTTTTCCTCTCGCTGCTCACTCGTCTTTCGCAACGCCCAAGTATCTCCAGTTTGACTCGGTAGCTCCACTTCAGCACACCTGAAGCCGCTGGACAAACTCCCAGAGATGTCCTGTTGCTCTTTTGCCATCCTCGTCAGCAATCTATCCTAATAGTGATCATTCAAAGATTTTGCTTAGTTGTAAGTCGTGGATCTCTCTGACCCAGCTAAAAAACGGGTTACATGTAAACTTCAACATGAACGAACCTTCGGCTTGTCAGACTATTATCCAGATAGAAAAGCGCAGAATTGGTGCACAGCTGTCCGCAAACCACTTTTTTATCCATTTTTTTCGCCACATCTGGTAAGGTTTCAAACCCATGAAGACCCTGGCATGCTGATCTCGGTCGACCACTGCTCGTCACACACGTGCCCCAATGCCTCCACGCAAATGGTCCGCTGCTTTTTCCCATTTACCGTCCTTCATAGCACTCCAACATTGTAATCCACATTAGCCTAACAGCTTTTGTAATACTACTGTCATGCATAAAACCAGTGTCTCCACCGCGGTGAAGCCATTCTAGAACACAGAGGAAAATATATGACACTTCGCCCCCGCCCATCTGTCCCGCCGAAAAACACCAGCTGAGAGTTATGCCCCCTCAAAATATGCCGACTGCTCGGTGGGTCTATCAATATCCTTCATGTTCCTAGGGATAGCTCCACCAATTAGCCGTTCTCCCTGGAGAAAATTCAGAGGTTTTCTGGAAGAGACGTAGGATCAGGGCCTGCGACCATTTTTCCTGCTAACTGCGAACGATCTTTAGGAAACACCCGCGGCTTATGTATCAAACGTGCTCAAGGTCGACCCTTTCCTGAAGTGTTCTTACGAAAATGGGTTTCCTCCTTACGTCCCGTGCCAATTATACTAGTTTGTTTCAGTTAAATGTCAGTAATATCCACAACTATTTATCCACTACTTCCATGTTTCTCCTAACTTACAATGGCCACTAGTCACCGCGCAAACGCTGTAGGCGAATGGCATACTCAGAATTCCGTCACTGTGCCGTCAACACACCCACGCGCATGTTCTGTGTATAGTTTCCGACCATCCTGTATAGCATTCTCCGATCATTCTGTCCTGTGATTAATGTTCTCGATCTTGTACCAATCAGACAACAGACCGTACCTTGGCCTTTAACGGTTTGTACATGTGCATCAACGTCACTTTGGTCGCCCGGGTTAGCCAACGCCTGCTTCTAGTCAGGTATACGTAAATACGCTAGGCAACCTGTGAGGCGACATCATCGACGGCTGGCATCACACTATGTAATATCTTCCATGACGTATCCACCACCGTCAGTGTGGTCGCTGAGGCCAGAAACTGCTTGCAATAACGGATATGATCATGATTAATGAACCTCTCGCCTTCTTAGGGCCTATATCTTCACTGAAACTGTTGGACCACATCCTGTCGCATACCCACTCATGCGGGATTCCGTGTCCCATTGTGTTATAACGCATTGCGCTTTATTTTAATACACCACTAAGCCTTCAGGTTTTATGAACACTTGTGTGGTATCTCCTTCAAGGGCTTGTTCGGTACGGTGAAAGAAAATATTTTTTCTAATATTTCGGGGTTCAGCTTCTAGTGCGCATTACCACAAGCATCAGATCCTAAAATTAGCTTAAGCAGACCAAGTTTCAGGAGGTTCCTTGCCTCCTTCCGATTCATCACCTATCGATCTGAGGATCGTCCTCTAGACGCGCGCCGATTCATCATCGATCTGAGGATCGTCCTCTAGACGCGCGCAAGCTTGGTCACAACAGGTCAGGAGTGGAAGCACGAAACAGGCTTCCACCCACCGCTAAACCAGACGACCCCAAACTCATAACCAAGCCGATTGTGGTCATATCCCCCTGTGCT